AGCTAATAGTTAATAACAAGCTAATAATGAGCTAATAACAATTAATAAAAAGCTAATAATAATGAGCTAATATTTAATAACAATAGTAATAATTACAAGCTAAGAATGAGCTAATAATTAATGAGTTAATAATAATTAATAATCAGCTACTAATAATTATTAGCGAGCAAATATGCAAACGCGGGCCGTGAATATGCAAACGCGGGCCGTGAATATGCAGGCGCGGCGTCACCTCGCGTGTGGCGCTCGTCCCTGCGGGCGGCGACCTCGTCCTCGAACTCGCGCCGGCGCCTGCGGGAAGCGGGAAACGGGAGTGAGACGGGCGGGCCCGAGGCCGGAGCCGAGCGGCACAGACAGCCAATCAGCACGCAGCTTTCCAACCAATCGTTTGGTTTTCCAGCTGTCGCCGGGCAGATTTCACATTTTCAGCCAATCAACACGCAGGCTTTCGACCAATCAACACGCAGTTTTTCCAGCAGTTGCCGGGCAGATTTCATACTTTCAGCCAATCAACATGCAGGTTTTTATTAGCAATTGCCGGGCAGACTTCACATTTTCAACCAATCAGCACGCAGATTTTCCAGCCGTCGCCGGGCAGATTTCACATTTTCAGCCAATCAACATGCAGGTTTTCGAACAATCAACACGCACATTTTCCAGCAGTTGCCAGGCAGATTTCACATTTTTCAACCAATCAACACTCAGATTTTCCAGCCGTCGCCAGGCAGATTTCACATTTTCAGCCAATCAGCACGCAGGCTTTCGACCAATCAACACGCAGGGTTTTAGCAGTTGCCGGGCAGACTTCACATTTTCAGCCAATCAGCACGCAGCTTTTCCACCAATCGTCACACAGATTTTCCAGCCGTCGCCGGGCAGATTTCACACTTTCAGCCAATCAGCACTCAGACAACAAAGAAATAAGCCCAGAAAATCTCTGACTTTCCAGGAAAGATCGATAAGTAAATGTAGAAAATAATTAATTAGATTTTGAAAAGTCTAAAAAACAGGAAATAATAAATCGTAATAAAAAATAATAAGTAAAAATAAAAAATATAAGTAAAAGATTTTGAAAACTAGTTTCACATGCTAATTTTTTTAAAAACCCAATAAGAACAAATCTAAACAAATCGATCGATTTGCATATCTGACCAATTTTCATATGCGACGCGCTCACCGTGCGAACTCGTCCTCCCGCTGCTCGAGCTCCGCCTCCTTCCGCTGAAGCCCCGCCTCCTTGTGCTCAAACTCCGCCTCCTTCCGCTCAAGCTCCGCCTCCTTCTGCTGAAGCTCCGCCTCCTTGTGCTCAAACTCCTCCTCCTTCCGCTCAAGCTCCGCCTCTCGGGGTCCAAGCTCCGCCTCCTTCTGCTCAAGCCCCGCCTCCCACTGTCCAAGCACCGCCTCCTTCCGCTGAAGCTCCGCCTCCTTGTATTTAAGCTCCGCCTCCTGCCGTTTCAGCTCTGTCTCCCGGTGTTCAAGCCCCGCCTTCTTCTGCTCAAGCCCCGCCTCCTTGTGCGAAAGCTCCGCCTCCTTCTGTTTAAGCCCCACCTCCTTCTGCTCAAGCCCCGCCTCCCGGTGTCCAAGCCCCACCTGCTCTCGCTGAAGCTCCGCCTCCTTGTGTTTAAGCTCCGCCTCGTGCCGTTTCAGCTCCGCCTCCTTCTCCTGAAGCCCCGACCCCTTCCACTCAAGCCCCGCCTCCTTCTTTTTAAGCTCCGCCTCCTTCCGCTGAAGCTCCGCCTCCTTCCGTTTAAGCTCCTCCTCTTTCTGCCCAAGCTCCGCCTCCTTCGCCTGGAAACGTGGGAAACAAAATATTATTATAAATATTTAACTTCTTAGATATATAATTAGGATAATTCGTAACATAAATGTTAATATCAATTATAATTGTAAATTTCAATATCACAATTATGAAAAACATTTTAAAAATTTTAATATCAAGTTGAAGTTTAATTCCTTAATTACAATAAACGAAAATAAAATAAACTTATACTTATAAATTTCAACATAATTATGACAGATTATATGGATTTTAATATCAATTATAATCGCCAATTTAAATATCAGAAATACCAAAAACATCTTAAAAATTTTAATAGCAATTATAAGTTTAATTCCATAATTACGATAAAATGTAAGCTTTAATATCAATTACAAATTTTAATATCAGAATTCCGATAAATCATAAAAATCCAGAAATTTTAAAGGCGAAAATTTAAGATATGATAATTAAAATTTAAATGTCAAATTGAAAATGAAATAAAAATTCAAAAATTCAAAAAAAAAAGTCCGACACGTAAAGTTTAAAAGTTGAAAACGGAATATTTAAAATAGAAAGTTCGAAACGTAAAGTTTTAAATGTAAATTTAAAATCTTAGTTTAAAATATTCATTAAAAATGCAAATTTGAAATATTAGTTGGAAATAATAATTGGAAATATTGACTTAAAATACAGATTTAAAATGTAAATTTGAAATATCAATTTAAACAATTGATTGGAAAGAATGATTAGAAAGACTGACTTAAAATATTAATTTAAAATCTTAATTTGAAATATTTAATTTCAAATAGAAACTTGAAATATTGAATTAAAACATAAATTTAAAACATAAATTTAAAATCTTAATTTGAAATCTTAATTTAAAGTGCAAAGTTCAAGTAAATTTCAAAATGCAAAGGTGAAAGTTCAAAATAATAAAAGCTTTCCGATTAAATAATAGGAAGTAAAAGAAATTTTTTAAAAAATAAATGTAAAAAAGTAGATGTAAAAAAAATAATAGAAACAAGAATTCTGAAAATGCAAATGTGATTTTTTAAAGTGAAAAACATGAAGAATCATGTTATTTCCATATAATTAAATATTAATAAGAAAATCTAATCAATAAATGTAGGAAATCTAAAATAATAAAGAATAAATAACGAAGAAATATGTGAAATAGAAATGACATAAATGGAATAAACCCAAAATGTGAATATATTATATGCAATTTAGAAAATATAATATTACAATATTACAATATCTATAAAATACATAGAATATTAAAAATATAGAACATAAAAATATTGAAATAAATCTATAAAATAGAACATTAAGAACATAAGAAATCAAGTAAAACTCCCTAAAATATAAATAAGAGCAGATTTTATATAAATAATCGAAACAAAAAAATCTAAAATATAAAAATAAATTCTTGACAAAAAATAAATGCAAAAAAGTCACTTACAAATAAAAAACAAATCAGAAATATAAACGTCTTGTTTATCAATATTATGAAAATTTAATAGGAAATTTAAAATTTAATAGATGTTAAATAGAAATAATGCGAAATGGAAATGGATTATTTGCAAATAACAGAGACGGAAAATAATGTACAAGAAATAAAACATTAAAAACACATGTAAAAAATATATAGAGCAAATAAAAATACATAGAAAATAAATCTAAAAAATAACATTAAAAAAGTCAAAATATAGACAAAATATGTATAAAAATAATAAATATATAGCAAATAAAAAGAGCCAATATATAAAAATAATATAAAGAAATCTAAAATACAGATTTCTTTATAAATAAAAAATATAAAAATAAGTCTAAAATCTAAACATTTTATCATCCACAAATGCAAATGAATCTAAAGTATAAATTATTCATAAATAAATAAAAGTATTTATAAGTTAAATTAATTTAGAAATTATTTTATAAATGGTATTGACAAAATAAAAATTGTTCATAAATAAAAAATACGAAAAATACCTAAAATAGAAATATGAGACGATTTACCAATAAAATAAGAAAATAAAAATAGAATAAATCTCAAATATAAAAAACCAGTATTTCTAAATATAAGTAATGAATTTAATTAAAATTACAAATATAAATTACAAAGAATAAGAAATGAAAAATAGACAATGAAAACATATACAAAATATAAAAAATAAGAAATAAAATACAGATATTTTATAAATAAAAAATATGAAAAGAAATCTAAAATATAAATATTTTATCATCCATAAATGCAAATGAATCTAAAATAGAATTTAAATTATTCATAAATTAAAGATATGAAAAATGCCTAAAATATAAATATGAGATGATTTATTACTAAAAATTTAATAAAATAATAATATAAAAATAATGTAATAAGTCTAAAATATAAATTTTAACATTATAAATGTAAAAGAATTACAAACAATAAATTGACAAAAAAATCTAAATAAATCCGAAATTCAAATCTGAAATATAAACATGTTTTTTATAAATAAATAAGTTGAAAATGTCAATATATTGATGGAAAATGGAAATATCTTGTTGATAAGAAATTTTTGCGCATAATTCTACATATTTTTGCATTTCATTCTGAATGTTTCTGCGCATAAATCTGCATATTTTTGCACATAATTCCGGACATTTTTGCATTTGATTGCAGGTTGTTTTTGCGCATAATTCTACATATTTCTTGCATAATTCTGGCGTAAAATTTCCAGATATTTTTGCATAAAATTCGGGATATTTTTGTGCGTAATTTTATGTGTTTTTGCAGAAAAGCCTGGATAATTTTGCGCATAAATCTGCATATTTTTTGCGAATAATTCCTGTTATTTTTGCATTCAATTCTGGATGTTTTTGCAAAAAATTGCAGCTATTTTTGCTTTCAATTCTGCATCATTCCACGCATAAATCTGCATAATTTTGCATTAAATTACAGCTGTTTTTAGCATAGTTCGGGGACTTTCTGTGCATAAATCTGCATGTTTTTGCATGTCATTCTGGAAATTTTTGCATTAACTTGCAGCTATTTTTCCTTTTAATTGTGCATCATTCCGCGCATAAATCTGCATATTTCTGCATTAAATTACAGCTGGTATTGCACATGATTCGAGGTATTTCTGTGCAAAAATCTGCATGTATTTGCATGAATCTGCATGTCGTTGCCCGCTCACCGTGCGGCCCGGCTCGTCCCGCAGTCGCCGTCCCGCGTCGCGCACGAACGCGCCGAGTTCCGGGTCCCGCGTCGCCGGGCTTGGGCGGCGGGAGCTCGCGAAGGCCTCGTCCACCTGCGCCAGCTTCGCCGCTGCGCGAACAATAATCATAATAATAAAACAACAATAATAACAAAATAATACTAATCATAATAACAAAATAATAATAATAAATAATAATCACAATAAAAATAAGCATAATAAAAATGATTACAAAATAATCATCATAATAAACATAATAACAAAAAATAACAAAATAACAAAACACTAATAATAAAATAAAAAACGAGAATAAATAATAATAATAAATAAAATCAATAACGAAAACAATATCAGGGTTATTGATATTAACGAAATTATTAGTGGTATGAATATTAATGAGATCAGAATTAGTCTTATTAATACTAATGAAATTGATAAAATCGACATTATTTATATCAAGGAGGTCATTAGTAGCATGAATATTAATGAGGTCATTAGTGGCATGAATATTCATGAGGTTCTTAGTGTGGACACCGACCGAGCGCGTCCCTCGCGTCCCCGAGCGTCTGCGTGTCGGCGTCACGCGTGTGCGAGCGCCGGGCCCCGTGTTCGCTCAGCGTCGTCAGCAGCCGCAGCAGGAGGCCTGGGGGCGGGGACACAGGACATGTATGTTAAAATATGCAAAGCAGGCAATTAGAATACGCAAACACAGAGAGAATATGCGAAATACGGCCGAGACTCGCAAAGTAAGACTAGGATATGCAAACTAGACGACCGAAATATGCAAATCGCGACTGGAATATGCAGAGTCGGTGGCTAGGATATGCAAAATAGATCAACATATGCAAAATAGGTGTCTGATTTGCAACGTACCATTTAAAAATGCAAAATAGGCTATTAGAATATGCAGAATAAGTAATTGGGACTCGCAAAACACGAGCTGAATGCGCAAAATAGGTGATTGGAACATGCAAATGCGGCTGAAATATGCAGAATAGGTAATTGGAATATGCAAAAATACCACAGGGCAATTACAAACTGCATTCTAGAAAATTAAAAATGGGAATTAATATGCAAAATACGATTTACATGTATAAAATAGATGATTAAGCGGCACAAACCACAACTGCGATATGCAGATTTGGTGATTAGAATATGCAAAACGAGAGCGGCATCTGCGAAAGAGGTGTTTGGGATTCGCAAGGCAGTTGGAATATGCAAATTGCTGATTAGAATATGCAAGATGTCACAGCGTAAAGCCGAAATAAAACGTGGAAAAATCACGCAGAATTTAAAATCTCGACACGATGATTAGCATATGCAAAACAGGTAACGAATTCTACAAAATGTCGGTAAATGCGGAATAAAAGCTGGAAATAAAAGCATTAATAATAAACATTAATAAACATTAATAAACATTTTCTCACCTTCGTCGCGTCCCGCGTCGCTCGGCGAAACCTGCGGGCGAAAAAACACACGGGTTTTCGATTATTTTGTGTTTTGCTTTAATTACAAATTATTTTCTTTTTAATTTGACATTTTATTTTTGCATTTTTAATATCATTTTTTCTATATTATTTTATTGCTGCTTAAATTTTATTTTTGCTTTAATTCTAATTTTATTATTTAATTTTATTACTTAATAATAAATCTTAATTTAGAAAAATTTATTAGTTGACTTTAGTAGAATTTATAGAAAAAAATAAAAATTCTAAGAATAAGAATTATAATTTTATATTTTATATTATTTGATATTATTTGATATTTTACATTATTTTATATTATATTTTTTCATATCTTATATTTTAAATTTTATCTTATTTGATATTTATTTGATATTATTTATATTCGTCCCCCGCACCAGCTCCGCGTATCCGGGCGAGGCGGGTCCGACGCTCAGGAGCCGCAGCAGCTCGCGCTCGCTCAGCGCCTGCAACGAGACGGGGCCGGCGTTAATCCACGCGCATAAATCTGCATAAATCAGCAATCCACGCGCATGAATCTGCATAAATTAACTATCCGCGCGCATAAATCTGCATGAATTAGCCAACACTCGAGCGCGGGACGGGATCATTAATGTCAAGTAAATGAGGACGAGCTCCTCGTCGTCCCCCGTGCCTCAGTTTCCCCCCTCGTGCCTTGGTTTCCCCCCTCGTGCCTCAGTTTCCCCCGTGTGCCTCAGTTTCCCCTCGTGCCTCGGTTTCCCCCCGTGCCTCGGTTTCCCCCCTTGTGCCTCAGTTTCCCCTCGTGCCTCGGTTTCCCCCCCGTGCCTCGGTTTCCCCGCTCACCCGCGCGGCGCCCAGCCCGCTCTCGGGCAGGAAGACGGACAGCGAGTAGTCGTAGCGCCGCGCGCGCAGGTGCCGCGCCACGAGGGCGTCGGCCGCCGCCGCCAGCACGGCCCCGCCCCCTCCCGTCGCCGGGGACGACGACGCCGACGCCAGGGACGACGACGACGCCAACGACGCCGAGGGGGCCCGGCGCTGCAGCTCGGCCACCAGCGTCCCGCGCAGCTGCGCCTGCCGGGGGTCGACGGATCAATAGGGGAAATTGCCAATAGATCAATAGATACAAGATACGTCGACTGTCCAATAAATCAATAAACAGGAAGATAAGAAATCGGCTTTGCAATTAATCAATAAACGTAAAATCGACTTTCCAATAGATCAATAAACATGAAAACAGGCTTTCCAATAAATCAATAAATGTCAAATAAACCGACTGTCCAATAAATCAATAAGCAGGGAAATAAACCAATTATCCAACCAATCAATAAATAGAAAATCGACTTTCCAATAAATCAATAAATATAAAATAAGTTGACTTTCGAACAAATGAATAAATATGAAAATAAAGCCATAAAATGTCTGACTTTCCAATAAATCAATAAATATAAAAATAAATCAATAACAACAAATCATAAACATCCAAAAATCAATACTAAAAAAAAATTTCTTAAAAATGAGGAAAAATAGTGAAAACGAAAAATAATAGAAAAAGAAACACGAGAAATGTAAAAATATTAAAAAATACCAAAAAAGGTAAATATTAAGAACAAAATAAAGAAAAATAAATGTGACAAATAAACAAATATTAAAAAATGCAATAAAAAAGGCAAATAAAATGAAAAATAAAAATTATTAAAAAGTCAATGTTGCCACATTTTAAATAATTAAAAAATGAATTGAAAATCTCTTAAAAATCAAGAAATGTTAAAGACACTAAAACATAAGAAAAAATAAAGATTTGAAAAGTCAATCCTCAAAAATAAGAAAAGTGTTTAAAAATAAACAAGCAAAAAAGATTAGAAAAATAAGAAACAGTATAAATAGTAAATAAATTGAATTAATAAATATTAAAAAATCGATAGTAAAAGATGAAGCAAAAATAAATCAAAAAATAAGAATGAAATATTAAAAACGAAATTAAAAACACATTACAAACTATTTTTAAAATACTTGAAAATTAGAAAAAATTTCAAAAATGAGGAAAATTAAACCGAACGAAAAATCAGGAAAAAAACATTTTAAAAAAATGAACACTAGAAATACAAGAAAAATTAATATTGGAAAAATAAAACAAAATGAATTGAATGAAGAAATATTAAAAATAAATCATCATAAATGAATAATAATTAAGAAAAAACAAACACCAAAAAGATTTATTAACAAATAAGTAAGCCGTAAATATCAAAATAAATATTAAAAAAAGATATTAAAATCAATACTCGAAAATGAATTTTGAGAATCGGAAAAAGGCAAACGAAAAATAAGGAACGAGTAAAGATTGAAAAATAAATAGATAATTAAGAATAAATAAATAAATAATGAGAATAATTAGAATAATTAAAATAGAAAATTAAGAAAAATAAATAAATAATGAGAATAATTAGAATAATTAATAAATAGATAATTAAGAATAAACAAATAAATAATGAGAATAATTAGAAGAATTAATAACTAAAAATTAATGACCAGGTGACAATAAATAAATAAGAAATGAAAATAATTAGGGAAATTAATAATTAATAAATGACCAGTGACAATAAATAAAGATAAAAATGAGAGATTAAAAAATTAGAATTAATAATTAATTAATTAACGACCAGGTGACTGCGATCGATAACCGATCAATAACCGATCGATAACCGATCAATAACCGATGGCTCACCTTGAGGGCGTCGAGCACGCCGCGCTCCCGGAACGCGCGGAACAGCGCGAGGCGCAGCGCGTCGCGGCTCAGCAGGTCGGGCGCCTGGAAGGGAAAACCAGGGGCGGGAACGGAAAATTAGACGCAAAATCAGTCGGAAAACGAGAGGCGGGAACAGAAAACACGGGCGGGAACAGAAAATCAGACGGAAAAGTAGAATGAAAATTAGGTGAAAATGGGAGACGGGAACAGAAAATCAGTCGGAAAATCAGAGTCGGGAAGAGAAAATCAGGGAAGGGAAGAGCAATTGATGGACGGGAACAGAAAACCAGATGCAAAATCAGGGACGGAAAATCAGACGGAACATTCGGGCGGGAACAGAAAATTAGATGGAAAAGTAGATGGAAAATCAGACGGAAAATCAGTGGTGGGAACAGAAAATACGGGTGGAACGGAGAATTAGGCAAAAAATCAGGGCCGGGAAGCCTCTTCCTCCTCCTCCTCCTGCACCTCACGCCTCCGTTCCTTCTCTTCCTCCTGCTCTTCCCGCTGCTCGCGGTCCCGGCGCCGGCGCGTGGCGGTCATCGTCGTCATCCAGGCTGCGCGGGCGGAACCCTGTGCAAAAGGCAAAGATTGTGAGTGAAAGGAGAGAGAGAGAGGGAAGGGGTCCGGGCGCAGAGCAGCGCAGCACAGCGCGGAGAACACAGGGAACAGAGAGGGTCCGACCGCACAGCGCAGCACAGCGCAAAAACACAAAGAAAACACACGGAGGGTCCGACCCGCAGCCGCGCGGCTCCGCTCTCCGTCCGTCCGTCCTTCCGTCTCCGCGGCGCCGCGTCCGGCAACGCGCACGCGCAGACGCCGACCCCCCCCACACCCGCTGCCGGAACGCGCCGTTCTTCTCGCGAGACGCGAACTGCGCCCGCGCCGGCGCCATGTTGCACGTACGGGTCCCGGAGAGAGAGAGAGAGACAGCCGCTACTTCCGGGTCCCTCCCGGCGCCGTGTGGGGTCGACGGAAAGCGGCAAGGCTCAACTTCCGGCGTCATTTTAAGCCTACGGATACCGGGAAGGCTCAACTTCCGGTCTCGGCGCCATTTTGAATCTACGGATACCGGGAAGGCACGACTTCCGGTTTCGGCGCCATGTTGACTCTACGGATTCCGGCAAGGCTCAACTTCCGGTTTCGGCGCCATGTTGGATCTACGGATACCGGCAAGGCTCGAACGTCCGGCCCGGCGCCATTTCGAAACTACGGATACCGGGAAGGCCCAGCTTCCGGTTCGGCGCCATTTTGAAACTACGGGTCCCGGGAAGGCTCCAACTTCCGGCCGGCCGCCATGTTGGATCCTCGGGTCCCCGCGCGGCCCAATCGCCGTCGCCGCTTCTTCCATTTATTTTTTTTTTCTCACGTGTCTTTATTTTTTTTTAATTTCATTTCTTTCTTTGCTTTTTATTCGATTCGTGTTTTTTTTTTTCTCACGCGTCTGTATTTTTTTAATATTTATTTTTCTTCCTCTAAGATTTTTTTTTTCTTAGATTTGCTGGGTCGCTTTTTATTCTGTTGACGTTTTTCTATTTATTTGCTTATTTCTTAATTTTTCTTTATTTAATTTTTTAAATTTATTTATCTTATTTCTTGTATTAATTTTTCTGTTTCGTTTACGACTTTTTCTATTTATTCATCTGTGGTTTTTTTTATATTTACTGATTCACTTTTTATTCTGCTTTTTATATTTATTTGCTTCTTTCTTATTTATTTATTTATCCTATTATTTTATTTATTTTTCCGTTTTATTTCTAACCTCTCTGCGTGTTTATTTTAATCTTTTTATATTTATTGGCTCCTATTTTATATCTATTTATTGGGAAGGCAGTGTTTCCTTTTTCTGTCTTTTTATTGATTGATTGACTTTTTATTTTATCGATGTTTTTGTACGTGTTTGCCTCCTTTTTATGTTTATTTTTCTGTTTTATTTACGCCTTTTTCTATTTATTGATCTCTTCTTATTGATTCATTGATTGGAAATCTTATCTATTTATTCAGTTTTCATTTCGCTTCCGGTTTTTATCCGTATTTATTGTTTTTTGACACGGGTTTTTCTGTTTTATTTCTCAGCTTTTCCGTTTATTTTTTGTTTTATTTAATTTATCGACTCGGCATCGACACGATGGGAAAGCCCATATTTATTTCTTTTATCGGAAAAATCGTCTTCACAATTTTTTAATTAAAAAAACATGTTTAAAATGAAGGAGATTTTTATTTGGATTTTTTGATTATTTATCTATTCTTTAATTATTAATTAATTACATGGTTTCTTTAAATTAAAAACTGATTTTTTAAAAAATAAAAACCAATTCCTTTTCAGGAAAACTTGGATTTTTTTCCCACCTTTTTAATTTAAAAAAAAATCTTCAGATTTAATGTTAATCTTCATTTAATTTTAATCTTTCATATTTAAAATTTTTTAATTAAAAAAAGGAATTCCTTTTCATCAATAAATCCCAATTGGTTTTTTTTAATTCCCAGATATTTTATTTTTAATTAAAAAAATTCCTGTTTGTCAAAATTTATTTGCCTTTTTATTTTCTCTGATTTTATTAGATTGATTTTTGATTGGATCACATTATTTTTTTTGCAAAGTCAGGATTTATTCGAAGGGAAACCCGGCATTTATTTATATTCGTTTATTTTATTTTTCTTTTTTATATTTATTCATTTTATTTTATTTATGTATCTTTCTTTATTTTTTATATTTATTTTATTTGACTTATTTTTTATATTTATTTGCTTTTTATTCTATGTGTCTTTTCATGTTTGTTTGCTTGGTTTTAATATTGATTGATTTATTGGAAAGTGAGTATTGCAAAGTTGGGATTTTTTAGATTTAGTTAATTTTTTATTGGTATATTGACATTATATTCATATTATATTGTATTTATATTTTATTAACTTGGTTATTTCATTCACACCGCGATTAATTTTTATTTATCCGACATTGACACTTACGGTCATCGATCACATTTTAGGATTTAATATGAAGCATTAAATGTCAATATTAAATCTCAAATTTGAACATTTAATATCAAGAATATTAATATCAGACATTAAATATTCATGTTTAAATCTGAAAATGCTTCAATATCAAATAATATTAAACATTTAAGATGAAGGAATTGATATTTACCATGAATAAAAATAACAATTTTTATTTTATTTATTCCACTTTTTTGCATCTTATTAATATACATTATTAAACATTATTTTTTCTGATGAATTAATAGTGATTATTTTTTTATGAAACGGCGCAGAGTTTAATTATTATAATTGCGACGTGTTATCAATTATTATATTTAATCGTGAAAAATTTAATTGCATTTATTTCGCTGTAAAATATTTAATTGCAGAAGATTTAATTCCGAAATGTTTAATCGGAAAATAGAAACGTGAAATCTTTAATTGCGAAATCATTAATTGCAAAATGTCATTTAATCATAAAGTATTTAATCCTCAAATACTGAATTTTAAATATTGAATTGCAAAGTCTTGAATCGTAAGATATTTAATTGCGAAATTTTTTTTCTCCAAAATAGTTAATATTTATTATTTTATTTTCGAATAAAAGATCAATTTTAACATTCTTTATTCTAATTTTCAATTTTAAATAAATTCAATTTAACTAAATTAAATGTAAAACTAATATTAAATTAAATTTCAATAAAAATAAAAATTAAATTTTAAATTAAATTTTTAAAAGAACATTTCGTTGTAATTCATTTTAATTAAGATTGATTTTGATTAATATTAATATTTTTATTGTGATTGATTATTATTGGATCGAGAAATCGTGGACATTATTATTATTCTTGATTTATAATTTCTTGCAAATTCAATGACAAATTTCTGAGCGGATAAAAAACAAATAATAATCAATAATCAATAAATCCTTTTAAATTTGTTTTATTTCTTTCATGCGAAAAGCGACGGATTGATAAGTTTTCATGAATAAAATGTCGGGGATTTAATTCAGATTAAAATAAAAATCGTGTGAAAAAGAACAATCAATAAAAGGATTGAGGTTCAAACATTCATTTTATTAGATTGAAAAATAGAAAATAGCAAGTTTTTAAAAATATTGAAAAAGATCGAGATCAAAATATAAATAACATCAAGATTTCTTTTAAAAAATTATACGAAAAAATGGGAAAAAAGGGGAAATTAAAATAATAAAAGCTGAATAAAAATTTAAAAACCTGGAAAAAGAGATTGAGATCAAAATGGAAATAATGGAAAGGTTCGATATAAAAAATTGCAGAAAAATTGGGAAAAAAGGAATTGATACAAAAATAATAATGAAAGATTAATTAAAATTAAAAATATGGGAAAAGATTGAGATTAAAATATAAATAATATCAAGATTTCACATTAAAAATTACACAAAAAATGCGGGAAATTAAAAATCAGAATCAAAGGTGAATTAAAAATTATCAGAAAAGGATCAATATGAAAATATCGGGAAAAAACGACGAATCGAGATTTTTTAAAAATGTAGGAAAAATTAGAAATTGATATTAAAACATCAAGATTGATGTAAAAAATATCAAATAGAAAATATAAGAAAGACGTTGATTAAAGAATCAAAAACACGAAGGTTCGTCAAAAATTTTTGAAAAATATTTTACGAATAAAAACATTTTTTCCCAAAAAATAAAAGATCAAGATTAAAAAAAGATGTGGAAGAAATGAATGAATTAATCAATCAATCAAGTAATCAATTAAGTAATCGACTATCAATTAATTATCAATCGATTAATTGATATGAAGCTATAAATCCGATTAAAAATTAACATAAAAATAAATAGAATTAAAAATATGGAAAAAGAGTTTGATATGAAACAAATACTTAGGGAATAAATAAATAAATAGTAAATTAAAAAAGAAATTGCATTTAATGAATATTTAATAAATAAAAAATAGTGCTTAATGAATACATATTGAATTAAAGTGAGATTAATATAAAAAATAATGAAATAAATTCACTTAAAATCGAAATAAATTCATTTAAAATCGGAATAAAAATTAACTCACAATTAATTTAAAATCAAGCATCGAAATAAATTTGTTGGCAATTAAAACCGATGAATTCACAAGAATCAAGATCCCGTCGTTTAAACTTAAAATTAATTAAGATTCAAAATTAAATGTTTTCAATTTAAAATCAATTTAAAATCAAGGGGGGGAAAATCAATGCATTTAAAATGAAACAAAATCAAAATCCGTTCATTTTAAAACTGAAACGAATCAATAATTGATCATTGAAAACTGAAATCAATTTAAAATCGAGAATTGAAAATAATCAAGGATCTGATTCAATTAATTTGAAATTGATGAAGTGAAAATTTATTGATCGACAACCAGGAATTCAAACGAATCGATTTCAAATCAAGAGCCGAAATCGACGAATTGAAAACGAAAGTCGATTCATTTAAAGTCCATTTGAAATCGATAAAATCAGTTTAAAATCAATTTAGAATCAATTTAAAAATTAAATAAATAATATCAGTAAAATAAAATTAAATTAAATAAACATGATAGAGAATAAATAAGAAAAATTTAAAAAGCTGATAAAAATAATAATAAAGTCATAATAAAAAGTTTAAAAAATAAAATTAAACTAAGAAGTAAAAATAGAAGAAATAATAAATGAATAATAAAAAACATTTAAAATAAAAATCAAGAATCAATAATAAGAAATATTAAGATTAAGAAAATAAAGAATAAATACGAGCAATCAAAAAAGAAAATAAAAAATAAAAAATAATAAGAATAAATTAAAATCAATAATAAAAAATATTAAAATTGAGAAAATTAAAGAAATGATAAATATAAAAATTAAAAGATAAGTAAAAAATAAGTAATAGGACAAAATTTAAAAATAAAAAACGAAAATCAAAAATCTTAAAATTAATTTAGAAAATTAAATGAATGATGAATATAAAAATTAAAAGAAAAGAGAATAAAGAAAAAATCATAACGACAATAATAAATTTAAAAAACAATAATAAAAAACATTAGAATTTATAAAATATAATAAGTAAGAAATATAGGAAATTTTAAAATAAAATAAAAAAGAATAATAAATAATAATAAATTTAAAATAAAAAGGCAATAATAGAAAAATTAAGATCAAAAAAATTAAATAACAAACATAAGAAACTAAAAAATAAAAGAAAAAAGAATAAAATAATCTGAAAACCGCGACCGGCGAAACTTGAACTCGTTTATTTCGCAATGAAACAACCGGAACCGATCGATTCGGGGAAACCGAGGGTCGAGAACCCGAGTCCGGCCCGCCGATCGCCTGTATTGATCGCCGATCGGTGTTATCGATTCGGTATTGATCGCCGATCGGTGTCGTCGTCGACACGTCGGCGTCGTTTCTTCATCGTACGTCGTTTCTTCCTCGCGCGCTACACTGCGGGGTGACAAGGGCACAGGGGGCGCGTGAGGCCATCGATGGACTCGGCTGATCGAACCCGATATCGATCGATAATTTCCACCCGGATCGATATCGATCGATAATCGATCGATGCCGAGATTGAAAAGTCAATGTCGGGTGTCGATCGATAGTCGATCGATAGACCCGATTTGCTCAGGAATCGACGTCGATCGATTAAGGTTTGTGAAAAGTTTCAAAAGTTTGTGAAGTTTTTTTGAAGTTTTTTTAAAGTTTGTAAAAAGTTTCTGAAAAGTTTGTAAAAGTTTGGAACGTTTCTGCAAAGTTTCCACAAAGTTCTACAAAGTTTGTGGAAAGTTTCGAAAAAGTTTTTGAAAAGTTTGTGAAGTTTTTCAGTTTTTTGAAGTTTTTCAAAGTTTGTGAAAAGTTTAGCAAAAGTTTTTTCAAAGTTTGTAAAAAGTTTGCAAAGTTTCTGCAAAGTTTCCAGAATGTTCTACAAAGTTTGTGGAAAGTTTGAAAAGTTTTTGAAGTTTTTCAAAGTTTGTAAACGTTTACAAAAAGAGTTTTAAGTTTGTGAAAAGTTTGAGAAAAGTTTGTAAGAAGTTTGCAAAGTTTCCAGAAAGTTCTACAAAGTGTTTGAAAGTTTCTAAAAAGTTTGCAGAAAGTTTTGGAAAAGGTCCAGAAAGTTTGTGGAAAGTTTGTTGAAAGTTTTTAAAAGTTCCAGAAATGTTCTGGAAAGTTCTGCAAGGTTCTAGAAAGTGTGCAAAGTTTCTAGAAAGTTCCACAAACTCTCGGAAACTTGTAAAAAGTTGGAAAAAGTTTGTGAAAAGTTTTGAAAGTTTCCAGAAAGTTCTAAAAGTTTGTAAAAACTTCTGAAAAGTTCCTGAAAAGTTCCACAAACTTGTGCAAAGTTCTGAAAAGTTGCAAAAAGTTTGCGAAAAGTTTCCAGAAAGTTCTAGAAAGTTTGTGGAAAGTTCCGAAAACTTCGGGAAGCTCCCAGCATGCCCCGGGGCGTCGTACCTGTCGTCTCCCTCATGCGCGTGGGCGGCGGCGGCGGCGGCCGATGGCGCCCGGCGTCTCCTCTGGGCGCGGGGACGGGGACGGCGGCGGCCATGACGGCGGCGGATGAGGGCGAGGAGGCCGCGGGGTCGGGGGTTGCGCGGGGCGGCCATGCGGCGGCGGCGGGAGCGCAGTGTGCGATGGTGAAGTCGGTCGGCACGCGGGGCGGCCAGGCCGCAGCGGCGGGAGCGCGGGCGACGACGTCGTCCGCTGACGAGTCCGTCTCGTTGCCCGAGTCCGACGCCGATGCCGAGCGGCTGGAGGGGCGAGCGCCTGCGCGGGGGCGGGGCGGGGTCAGACGCGCAGGGCGCGAGGACGGAAACAAAATGGAAATAAAATTTTAAAAATGGGAATAAAACGGAAATAAAAACGGAAATAAAACGATTGGTCATTGATTATTGTTCATTGATTATCGGTTATCGATCTGCGATCGATCGGCCCGTACCTGCGTCCCGCGTCTCGTCATCGTCGTCGTCGTCGATGAGCGACACGGGGACGGGGCCGTGGGTCTCCGCCACGTCCGAGGTTCGTCCACCGGTCGCGCAGTCGCTCGACGCGCCCGTGGGTCCCAACGCCGAGGCCGCGGCGTCCCGGAAGGCGGGGGGCGGCGGCGCGGCGATGGCGGCGTTGAGGCGGCGCAGCAGGAAGTCGTCGTCCTCCTCGTCGTCGTCGTCGCCGTCGCCGCGGCTGCCGCGCGGGGGAGGGGGCAGCGCCGTCAGGTCGATGATGTCGTCCGCGGGTCCGAACGCCACGCTCGGCGGCGGCGATGGCGGCGACGGCGGCGTCCCGGGCGCCGAGAGTCCTGAGACAAAGAAATGAGCAACGAGAATTGATAACCAATAACTAATCGATGATCAATAATCGATAATCGAAAATTAATCGACCGACAATCAATAATCAATGATCAGAAAAATAAGCGACTGGTGAGCAGGAATCAATGACCGAGAATTAATCGGTCGATGATCAATAATCAATAATCAATAATCAGTCGACCGTTGATCGAGAATCAGCCATCGAAATATTGAACGATTGATAATCAATAATCGAGAATTAATCGATCGATGATCAATGATCGATGGTCGGAAATTAGTCAATCGATGAGCAATAATCAATCGGTGCAATAACCGGGAAACAATTGATGATCAGTGATCACGGATATTGGAAAGGACGTCCCTGATCATCTCAAATATTGGAAATAAACTTGCGTTCAGCGCTGATATTAGAAATAACGTCGCTAATAATCACAAATATTAGGAATAAACTTGCTAATAATCATGAATATCACAAATAATGTCGCTTATACTTGAAATAATCTCGCTAATCATCGATAATATGACCGATAACGTCGCTAAGAATCACAAATATTACAAACAATCTCGCTAATAATCACGAATCACAGCTCATGAATATGCAAATCAGCCCACCCGGCCTCGATACCTGCGTTCCCGTCGTCGCCCGCGACGTCGTCGATGCTGGTGATGTCACCGCCCCCTGTGACGTCATCGATCCCCGTGACGTCATCCCCGTTCCCGGCGACGCCATAGCCGACCCCGCCGCCGACCCACGTGACGTCATCGATCCCTGTGATGTCACAGTCATCTCTAGTGACGTCACCGATACCCGTGACGTCATCGAACGCGGCGACCTCGTAGCCAGACCCGTTGGCGACGTCGTCGTCGGCGTCATCATCGATGCGGGTGACGACGTCGCCGCCGCCGAGCCCGATGACGTCGTAGGCGCCCCACGCGGCGGTGTGGAAGCAGCGCCGCCCGCCCGGGGCCACGACGTCGTAGCAGCCGCCGCCGATGACGTCGTCGATGCGGGTGACGGCGAGCTCGTCCCCGTCCGCGGCGGCGCAGAGGAAGCGTCCGTCCGCGGCGGCGGCGTCGTAGCCGTCGCTCCCTGTGACGTCGTCGCCCCCCGTGACGTCATCGCCCCCCGTGACGTCGTCGCCGTCGTCCTCGCCGCCCGCGGTGGCGTCGTAGATGCAGCGCCGCGCGTCGACCAGCAGGCGGTAGTAGCCGGCGGTGAGGCAGGCGAGCGTCACGGCGTCGGGCGCCGCCATGAGCAGCGTCAGCGACTGCGGGGGGAGTGAGGGGGAGACAGACAGGAAGTGGCCCGTCCCCCAACATGGCGCCCACCGGAAGTGAGAAAACAGACAGGAAGTGAGGGAAAATGTAGACAGGAAGTGCCCTTTCCCCCACCGTGGCGCCCACAGGAAGTGAGGACGCCCTGCTCTTCCTGTCCGTCAGGCCCCGCCCACCTGCTCGTCCAGCACGCGCAGCTCGACGCGCACGCCCGGCCCGGGTTCCTCTCCGCCTCCGTGTCCGTGTCCGTGTCCGGCGCCGTCGCCCGGCAGCAGGCGCACGCGCGTCACGTGGCTGAAGTCGGCCAGCAGCGCCACCAGGCTCGTGCGCGCGTTCACCACGTGGCTGATCCCGCAGCGCGGCCCCACCAGCAGCGTCACCTCCGCTCGCCGCTGCGCCTGCTGGGGGCGCGGGGTTACGGGGTCGCGGGGTCGCGGAGTCGCGGGGTCGTGGGGTCACGGGGTCGGCTCGACCAGGTGTCACGGGGTCAGTCCGTGGTCACACGGAGTCACGGGGTCATTTGAGAGGACGGGGTCAACCCGGGGTCACGGGGTCATGTGCTCGGATTGGGTCACAGGTCAAGGGCGGGTGGGGCCGCCGGTGGGCGTGGCTTCAACCCCTCCCAGTGGGCGTGGCCTCGGTTTCTGTCCGGGCGGTGGTGGGCGTGGCCCTCGACCCCAGGCCCCGCCCCTCCCTCCCCCGGCCCCGCCCCGTCGCCGTGGTTACCAGCAGCGTGGCCCGGAAGGCGCGGCCCCCGTAGAGGCGCAGGTCACTCAGCAGCCGCAGGTAGTGCACCTTGGCCTGCAGGGCCGAGAGCTGGGGGTCGCGGGGTCACGGGGTCGCGGGGTCACGGTGCGGGGTCGCGGGGTCACAGCGCGGGGTCAGGGCGCGGGTGGAGGGAGCAGGGGTCGGGGGTCAGTGGGAGGGGTCAGGGTGCGGGTCGGGGTCATGGGGTCACAGGGTCACGGGGTCACGTGGACAGAGGAAACAAGAGAAAGAGAAAGAAGCGTGAGAAACTCAGACAGGAAGTGCCAATTCCCCCAACATGGCGGCCACAGGAAGTGAGGCATAAAGGCAGACAGGAAGTGACCTGTCCCCTAACCCGGTGCCCACAGGAAGTGGGTCGTTTTTCCAGAGAGGAAGTGCCCTTTTCCCCCAATACTGAACCCACAGGACGTGAGGAAACTAGGCAGACAGGAAGTAGGCATTGCCCCAACATGGCGGCAAAAGGAAGTGGGGAATCCACGCAGACAGGAAGTGTGCTGTCCCCTAAACTGGTTCCCACAGGAAGTCGGTCTTTTTCCAGACAGGAAGTGCCCTTTCCCGCAGTTTTGAACCCACAGGAAGTGAGGGAAAGCAGGCAGACAGGAAGTGCCCTGTCCCCCAACATGGCAGCAACAGGAAGTGGTTCATTTTCCAAACAGGAAGTGCCATGTGCCCCAACATTAAACAGGAAGTGGTGCTTTTTTCCAGACAGGAAGTTCCCTGTCCCCCAACATGGCGCCCACAGGAAGTGAGGCATTTCTCTATACAGGAAGTGGGGCTTTTTTCCACACAGGAAGTGCCCTGTCCCCCACATCCCGCCCGGGTCTCCGCCCCCTCGGCCCTTGAATTTCGCTCCCTCCTTGTTATTCGACCCCGAGACGTTCGACCCCGCGACCCCCGACCCGCCCATGCCGACCGACCGACCTTCCTCCCGGGCGGCGCCAGGTGCTCGTGGTCCTTGGCGAGCCGCGCCAGCGCCTTGCGGACGCTCTTGGCCTTCATGACGCGCAGCACGGCCGGCGGCACGAACGCGCCCAGGCCCCACTCCTTCCTGCCGGGCGGCGGACGGACACCGACCATCAATCACCAGTCATCAATAACAATCAGTCATCAATGACAAAATAAATGATCATCGATCAATGACCAAATCAATATTCAGTTCTCAATAGCCAAATCGATAGTCAATTATCAGTAAAATCAGTAATCAATAACCGAATCAATGATCATCGATCAATGACCAAATCTATGTTCAGTTATTAATAACCAATGATAACGATCAGTCATCAATCACCAAAGATAAGTGATCAGTTATCAATGACCAAATCAATAATCAGTCATCAATCACCAAAAATCAATAACCCGCGATCGACAACCAAAGATGAATAATCAGCGACCGACAGCCAAAGATCCAGAATGAGCGATCAATAACCAAAGATCGATAATCCACGATCGAGAGTCAATAACCAGCGGTGCATAATCAAAAACGACCGAAACGCCGCGCGGGCATCGGGACCGATAGCCAATCATTGACGACCGATAGCTGATAATCAGAGATCAATAACCAATAATCATCGATGATCCAGCCAATGATTGATCACCGATCAACAATAACCAGTCGTAAGCTCCTCCACGACCCGCGCCCCCGCCGTGACCTCCCCGCGACCCCCCGACCCCGCGACCCCAACCCGGGGGCGGGACGACTCACTCGACGAACTTGAGCGCCGACCTTCGCCCCCGCCGGGCGCCGAGCGCGGCCACGTGCACCTGCAGCGCCGCCAGACGCAGCGCGGCCTCCGCGTCCAGCTCCGCCCCGAAGCGCTCGCGCACCACGTCGTTGCAGCTCTGCGGGCCGGGGGTCGGCGCGGGGTCAGCCCGGGGTCAGCCAGGGGTCAGCGCGGGGTCAGAGTCAGCCAAAGGTCACGGGGTCAGCACAGGGTGCACCGCCCACTCTCGGGCCCCGCCCCCCCGAGGCCCCGCCCTCCACAGGCCCCGCCCCGTCTTGGCCCCGCCCCGTCTTGGCCCCGCCCACCTGCAGGTAGAGGTACTCGAAGGCGTTGGGGTCGCGGCGCAGCAGGTCCACGGGGTCCTTGGGCACGAAGCTCGCGCGGAACACGCACCGCATGCGCCGCGCGTCGGGCCGGCCCGCCACCTGCGGGCGGGGGGGCGGGGGGAGCGTGACGCGCAGGGGACAGGGAGCGGGGACACAGACAGGAAGTGGGGCCTCCCCTAGCCTAAATATGAGAAACAGGAAGTGTGGTGACAGAGACAGGAAGTGGAGCTTCCCCTGGCCACCATGGCTCAAACCGGAAGTGGGAAGGCGCAGACAGGAAGTGGCAGAAACAGGAAGTGCGACATCCCCTAAGTCCGCAAACAGGAAGTGGTCTCCCACAGGAAGTTGAGACTCGGCAGGGCTCTCAGTTGGGGTCACAGGGTCACGGGGTCACGGGGTCGCGGGGTCGGGGTCGCACCCGGGCCAGCGTCTCCTGCTCGGGCAGCAGCAGCAGCTCGGCCGGCCCGGCCTCTCCCGACGCCGTCGGCTCCAGCGCCAGCGCAAAGTGGTCGACGCCGCGCAGCGCCAGCTTCTCCTGCAGCGTCAGCAGCACGTCCTGCGCGGACAGGAAGTGACGTCGGCACGTGGGCGGGGGCCGGAAGTGGCCCCTCATTAATATTCATGACCCTCCAGAAAGGCCAATAAATACCTCTCGTTAATATCCTTCACTCTCATTAACATTCACACCCCGCTCATTAATATTCAACCTGGCTCATCAATATTCAGGCCTCAATCATTAATATTCACGCCCGCTCATTTATATTCAGCCATATCATTAACATTCATGCCCCTCTCATCATTATTCACGCCCCTCTCATTAACATTCATGACCCCGGTCATCCATATTCACGCCCAGTCATTAATATTCATGCCCTCTCATTAATATTCACGACCAGTTCACCAATATTCATGCCCTGCTCATTGATGTTCAGCCATATCGTTAATATTCACGCCCCGCTCATCATTATTCATGCCCCACATTAATATTCCCGCCCGCTCATTAATATTCCCGCCCCCGCGTCCATCCCTCGCACCCGGATGCGCGTGCGCCCGTCGAAGCGGAAGCTCTTGGTCTGCCCGTTCTCCAGGTGAACCTTGAGCACGTCGGGCAGGAACAGCAGTGCGTTCCCGGGGGCCTGCAGGGGTCAGGGGTCACGGTGGGGTCACGGGGGGTACACCGGGGGTCACGGGGTCACCGAGAAACCAAAAAAAAAGTAAAATTGTATAACATTCCGGAACGTTCTATGAGGTTCTAAAAAGTTCCAGGGGCCTGCGGGGGTCGCAGGGTCACAGTGAGGTCACAAGGGGGTCACGGGGAGGTCGCGGGGTCACCAAGAAACCAAAAAAAAAAGAAAAATGCCGGAACTTTCTGGAACGTTCTATGAGGTTCTAAAACGTTCTGGGGGCTTGCAGGGGTTGCGGGGTCACGGTGAGGTCATGGGTGGGTCATGGGGGGTCGCGGGGTCACAGTGAGGTAAAGAGAGGGTCATGGAGGGGTCAAGAGGTCACGGGGAGGTCGCGGGGTCACAAACAATAGCAAAAAAAAAAGGAAAAATGCCGGAACCTTCCGGAACATTCTATGAGGTTCTAAAACGTTCCAGAAGGTCCCGCAAGGTCGCGGCGTCCCCGGCACTCACCGTCGTGACCGGTTCAGGCCGCCCGTCTCCCCCCGCGGCGGTGGCGGCGGAGGCAGCAACGTCCTCGGCGAAGCGCACCCGGGCGGGACGCGAGCGCAGTCGGGCCCGCGTGGCGGCCGAGATGAAGGCCGAGCGCGGCGACTGCGCGGGGAAATGAGAGCTAGCATGCAAACGAGCATGCAAATGATATGCAAACGAGCATGCGAATGAGGCATGGCGGGGGTGTGAGGGGCGGGGCATGCAAATGAGGCACAGTTGTTAGCATGAAGGCGTGGCGGGCAGGTCAGGGCTTTTATGCAAATGAGATGGGTTTATTAGCATACAAGAGGGCCGTGCAAATGAGGGAGATTCATTAGCACACGGGGTAGGATATGCAAATGAGACCCGGTCATTAGCATGCAGTTTGGGTATGCAAATGAGACACGTCCGTTAGCATGACACCGTGACATGCAAATGAGACGCAGTCGTCAGCGATAGGGCCGCGACATGGGCGTGGTATGCAAATGATACCCAGTCATTAGCATGTGGGTGGGAAATGCAAATGAGCCATGGTTATGGGCAAACAGGCGGGACATGCAAATGCAGCATGCTCATTAGCATAACATGCGGATGACGAGGAGCGTTGCCCAAAGGGGCGGGACATGCAAATGAGACCCGGTCATCAGCATAAAGGGCAGGACAAGCAGACGAGGCGGGCTCATTAGCATAAAGGGGGAAGAGGGAGGTGTGTGATTTGCATCTCATTTCCATGCCGGACCAGCGCCTCGTTTGCATGCGCTTCTTTTGCATGCCCCCAACCCCCCCACGCACCGGCAGCGGCTGCACGACCGTGAGGACGATCGACTCCTTGCAGCTTCTGCCGGAGAAAGAGAGAGTGACACGCGTGGGGTCGGGGGTCAGGGGTCACCCGAGGTCACGATCAGAACAGAGTCAGACCAAGGGGGGGCGTGTCACAGTCAGGTCAGGTCAGAGGTCAGCATGGGGATCCAGAAAGTCAGGGGTCACGTGGGGGGTCAGGGAGAGGTCAAGGGTCAGGCCGGTTGGGGGGGTCGCGGTGAGGTTGGAAGCCAGGATCGGGGGTCGGGGCGAGGTCAGGGGTCACGCGTGGGTCGGGGGTCGGGGGTCGCGTGCGCACTGACCTGACCAGGGCGATGACGCGCTCCCGCGGGGCGGCGGCCACGGGCTCCTCGTCGATGCGCACGATCTGGTCGCCCGGGAACAGCTTCCCCTCCGACGGGCCGCCTGCGCGACCCCGCGACCCCGCGACCCCCCGCGACCCCGCGGAGTCAGCGCGACCCCAAACCCGGGACCCGGAAAACCGACAAAAAACCCCGCCCCTTCCCCGCGACCACGTGACCCCTGACCCCGCGACCCCTTCCGACCCCGCGACCCCGCGGCCCCCGGCTCACCCGGCGTGACCGAGCGCACGACCACGGGCTTCTCGCTGCCGGCCACGAAGCCGAAGCCGAGGACGGGGTCGCGGCGCAGGGCGAGCGTGCGCGGGGCGGGCGGGGCCGCGTCGTCGGGGGCGGGGCTGTGCGGTGGGTACGAGATTAACATGAAATTAGCATGAGATTAGCATAGCAGGGAGCGGGGCGGGGCAGGGGGTGGACGGGGCGAGGCAGGAAGTGGATGTTCCCCTACAGGAAGTGCATTTTCCCCTACAGGAAATGAATATTCCTATACTGGAAGTGGACATTTCCAGACAGGAAGTGGAATTTCAGCAACAGGAAGTGGATCTCACTCTGCCGGAACTGGATTTTCCCCTACAGGAAGTGAATTTTCATCAGCCGGAAGTAATAATTTACACGCAGGAAGTGCCTTTTCCCTACAGGAAGTGAATCTTTCCACACGGTCATTGGATATTTCCATGCAGGAAGTGGATCTCGCTCAGGAAGAAGTGGATGTTCATCCACCGGAAGCAGATTTTCCCCTACAGGAAGTGATCATTCCCACACAGAAAGTGGATCTCCCTCTACTAGATATGGACTTTCCGCAACAGGAAGTGGGTTTTTTATAACAGGAAGTGAATTTTCCGCAGGAGGAAGTGAATGTTTACACACAGGAAGTTAATTTTCCCGACAGGAAATGGATGTTCCCCTACAGGAAGTGAATATTCCAACACAGGACGTGGCTCTTTCAACACAGGAAGTGGATGGCACTTTACAGGAAGTGCAATTTCCCGACAGGAAGCGGAGTTTCCCCTACAGGAAGTGGATTTTCTCCTACAGGAATTGAATATTCCCACACAGGAAGTGGATCAACCCCGACAGGAAGTACAATCTCCCGCATGGGGAAGTTGGTGTGGCTTTGGTGGGGTCGGGGTCACGTCGGGGTCAGGGGTCGCGGGTCAGGGGTCACTCACCCGGCGTGGCGCTCGTAGCCGTCCACGGCGCTCGGCGAGCCGGGCCCGAGCGTCCAGCCCGACGCGCACGGGCGGCTGCGGGGGGGGCGGGGACGGAATATTCATGAGCATGACGAGCCATGAATATTCATGAGGAAGGAAAAGACACCGGGAATCCGTCAGATTTCGGCGGAATCGAATTTTAATCAAGAAATTTTTGCCTTGTGAAGAATAATTGCGAAATAATCAAATAATGGAGGAAAATTTAATCATTAAAAATTTAATTAATAACAAGATGTCAACGTTTAAACGGATCCTGATAAGGTCCAGGAATCAAAATCTAGATTAATAATAATAATAATTAGTAATACACAGTGAGTAATGATGATGTCGCAATAACGACTCATGAATATTCAATCATCACCAATAACAATAAAGTGACAAGATAACAACTAATTAATAATAGACAATAACAACTAATATCCAAAAATGAACAAGATGAAAATAATAAGAACAAATATTAAGAAAATAATAACCGATAACAATAATAACTGTTGAAATAACAAGAAGAAATAATACCAATAAATAATAACCAATGAGAATAAACAAGAATATTAAACCAGATTAAAATAACAATAACAAATATTAACAAATAATAATGTGAAAATAACGAGAATAAAATAATATTAACATGAAATAACCAATATTAATGAGCAGTGTTAAAATAACAACAAATAATATCAACAAATAATAACCAGTAATAATAATCAATGTTGAAAAAACAAGAACAAATAATATTAATAAATAATATGCAATAATAATAAACAAAATTAAAATAACAAGAATAATGAATATTAAGAAATGATAAACAAGATGAAAATAACAAAAAATATTAATAGACAAGAATAATAAACGTGATTAAAATAACAAGAATAATATAACAACCCATAATGATAAACAAGATAAAAATAACAATCAAAAATTATATTAACAAACAATAACCAATAATAAAAACCAAGATTAAAGTAACAATAACAAATAATCAGTAATAAACCATGTCAAAATAACAATCACAAATAATATTCACAAACAATAACCAATAATAATAAACAAGATGAAAATAACAATTAATAACGAATAATAAAAAGTAAAAACGAGAAATAAATAACAAACCGTTAATAACAGCAAATCATCACAATAATAAAAAAGATTAATGGATAAATCAAACAACAGAGAAAATAATATAAATAAGAGAAAAAATAATATCAAAAAATTGAGAAAAATAATTCCAAATAAGAGAAAAAAATAATAGTGACAAATAATAACGGAATAAAAAATAATAAATAATAATAATGATAATAAATCATCTCAAATAATAACCACGAAGAATAATACGTCATAATAACAATCAAATAAATAAAATAATCAAATAACAATCATGAAATAATAAATAAAACCTCAATTACAAGAAACAATAACGAGGAATGAGAGCAAATAATGACAAACCACAACAAAAAATGGAAACGACGGCAACAAACCAAGAATGAAAAATAATAAAAAAATTAAATAAAATTTCAAAATTAAGATAATAAAATAATAATAAATAAAAACTAAGAATAAAAAAATAATAACAGAAACTCCAGCAATAAACCAGAAGAAACAATAAATAATAAGAAACAAGAATAAAAGATAACAAATAAGAATACTATTTAATAATGAAAAATAATAATAAATAACAATACTATTTAATAAGAATAAATAATAATAATAAATTACAACACTTTTAAGTAATAATACTAAAAATAATAAAAAATAATACTAAATAATAACAATAATAACACTATTTAATAATGATAATAAATAATAATAAATAACAACACTAATAATAACAAATAGCAATAATATTTAAGAATAATAAATAATAATAATCAACAGGAAGCACACAGAACCGAGTCCAACCGCCGACCCCGCCCACCGGACACGTGCTCCCCTTTGACCCCGCCCACCTCGCTCAGGCCCCGCCCTCCTCGCCCAGGCCCCGCCCACCTGCACATCCGGGCGTCCATGCTCCATCCGGGGCTCCGTCTCCGCTGCGCAGGCCCCGCCCACTCGCGCACCGGAAGTCCCCGCGACCCACTTCCGGTCGGGCTCAGTCAGTCCCTCACACTCAGACACAGACAGACACGCGTTTCCTCCGCGCGGGGCGGGGGGGGGGGAGAGTGAGGGTCACGACCCCGGGGTCACGACCCCCGCGCGGCCGCCGCCATCATCATCCTCCTCGTCCTCATCCGGGTCCCGTTCTGTCCCCGCGTCCGTCCGTCCGTCCGTCCGCTCGATCCGGGGCTGCCTCCTCCGACCGCCGCCTCCGCCGCCGCCGCCGCTGCGCCCGCACATCCGGGGCCTCCCGCCGCCCGGACGCGCCACTTCCGCCGCCGCACTTCCGCTTCCGCCGCCTTTCCCCATTCCGGGACTTTGGCATCCCACCGGGACTTTTTTCGCTCCGGGGACAGGGACATTTCTCGCTCGTCTCCCGCGACTTTCAACATCCCAGCGGCGCGTCCTGAAACCGTCATCATCCGGGGCCTTCGCCTTATTTATTATTATTATTCTTGTTATTATTGATTTTTCTTTAATTTTCCTGCGGGACTTTTTTGGCACCGGCGACTGGGACATTTTTCGCTCGTCTCCCGCGACTTTAAAAATTCCAGCGGCGCATCCGTAACGCGTCATCATCCGGGTCTCTAGATGATTTTTTTTTTGTTTTGCTACGTGTGACTTTTTTCGCTCCCGACCCCGGGTCTTTTCTCGCGCGCTTCCTGGTCGGACTTCCGGTTTCTGTCATTATTACATCCGGGACTTTTCTAGCGCGCTCCGCCGCCGGCGTGAAATACGGACCCATCCGGGGAAAACCGACGCCATTTCCGGTTTGTGAGGGACGAGGGATTTTCCGTCTTTATTGCTAATTCTTATTATTGTTTGCTGCATCCTATGACTTTTGCATTGATTGATAATTGTTATTTTGATTATATTATATTTTTATGTCATATTTGTTATATTATATATATTTATTAGATATTATATATTCTATATTTTTATTTTTATTCATTATTTCATTTTTGTTGATAATTATTATTCTTTCTTAGCTGCTTGTTATTGCTTTTATTTTTTTTGCTAATTATTTTTATTTTTATCGCTGATTATTTTAATTTAGATTGCTACTTATAATTATTTTTCGCTGCCATGACTTTTATTTCCTTGCTAATTATTGTTTGCTGCTTGCTATTGCTTTCACTTTTATTGCTAGTTCTTCTTTTTGCTATATCTTATTTTTATTTTTCTGGCGAATTATGATTTGTTATGATTTTTGCTCATTGTTTTATTGCCAATTATTATCTGTTATGATTTTTCCTAATTGTTTTTATTGCCAATTTTGATTTTTTTGGTTTTTCTAATTGTATTTATTTTAGTTGCTAATTCTTATTTTCCTAGTTTTTATTATTATTTTTATTTTCATTGCTATTGATCATGATTTCTGCGAATTTCTACAACTTTTATTTTCATTGCTCATTATTATTTTGATTGCTAATGATTATTTTCTGCCATCATTTTTGCAAATCATTTTCAATTTATTGCCAATCATTATTTTTCTAGTGATGAGGATTATTTGTGCTGCCAATTATTATTATTTTTGCTACTTATTATTATTTGAATTGCAAATCATTTTTTGCTATTTATTTTTATTTTTATGGCTGGCTTTCATTTTTATTCAATTATTATTTTTGCTAATGTTTCTCATGTGTATTTCTAATTATCTTTAACTATTTTCGGCTAATTATTACTTTGTTTCTTCTGCTGATGACGATTAGTTTTTGGCTAATGACTTTGTAAACCGTCATCGATTATTTATCGATTATTTTGATTATTTCCCCCCCTGAAACCCTATGAATTTCCGGTGTCTGAATGAAGTCGCGGCTCTCGTTGCCAAAACAGGAAGTGGCCGCCGGAAGCGGACGCACAGACCCCTGGGAAGTGTAGTTTCCCCGCGCGTTACCGACACCGGAAGTGGCCGCCGGAAGTGGCCGCACAGAACTCTGGGAAGTGTAGTTTTCCCGCGCGTTACCGGTTCCGGAAGTGGTCGCCGGAAGTCGCCGCAATGCCCGCAGGGAAGTGTAGTTCGCACTGCCTTTTTTGTAGTTCGTCCCCGTTAGTGATTGTC